GAGCAAAGCCAAGTTGTGACAACAATGAGGGGAACACCAGGATACATGGCCCCTGAGTGGTTGAACTCGGTAATCACAGAAAAGGTAGATGTATATAGCTTTGGTATTGTTGTTCTGGAAATTTTATGTGGTAGAAAAAATGTTGATCGATCCCTGCCAGAAGAGGATGGCCATTTGGTAAGTGTTTTTAAGAGAAAGGCTGAGGATGGTGAACTTCTGGATCTAATGGATAAGTACAATGAGGAGATGCAATCAAATGCAGCAGAGGTAATGGAGATGATGAAAGTTGCAGCATGGTGTTTGCAAAATGAATATGCCAAGAGACCTTCAATGTCCATTGTGGTGAAGTTCCTAGAGGGCAAAATGGATGGTGAAAATGAGTGTGATTTCTCAAATCCACCAGTTCTGGCTGAAGTAGGAACCATCGGACACCCAACGGATACAGCTGCTTGGATTTCATCTATTTTATCTGGTCCAAGGTGATGATGACATGGGGAAGAGAGGACATATAATGGTAATTCTTCTTTTTCATTTTATGACTGCATTTCTTGCATCTTACCATTTTGCTCGTCCTGCTTTTGAATTCATTGACTGATTTCTTATATATAACTAACTGCCAATGAGCCTACAAATCTTCTTTTCTTATAATATAACAATGAATTACTTTAACTGAAAATTTGTCTTTCATTTCATTTTAAAACAATCCTTCTCACAATCTCTTACTTTTTCCAGCTTTAGCTCTTGGCTTCATTTCTTCCTGCCAATTGCTTCAAGTATTTTGAGAAAGACTTGACCACCCGATTAGCATGTTCAGGAGTACAGACTGACTCTGAAAGGCTAAGTCCTTTCCTTGTGTCCTTTTCTGTCCATTGGAAAATTTTCATTTTTTCTTTGTAGAGGGATTAGTTGCAGTACTTTTGGTTCATGTTGATTCTTAGTTTAATTTCTGCAATGTACTATTAGCTGCTTCAAATTTGTGTTGCACCTCTAATAATTTAATTCTAGGCAAACAATTTTAACTCCGATCCGATCTTCTTAATTTTAGTTAGATTGTTTTTATAAGAATTCAAGATTTTAACATTTTTAAAAAACAAAAAAGAAAGATTTTAACATTTTTATAACAAAAAATTACTGTATAATCTAAATTATATTAAATTGTAAAATAAAAATTTTTAGATAAAGAGTAGGTCTCTTAATATCAAGGTCCTACCACATCTATTGATTTTATTTTATAATTTAATGTAATTTAGACTATAAAATAAAAAACTCTTTCTATAAAAATTTTATTCAAATAGAACTTATAGATCCATTAAATAAACTCTTGGTCTCTATTTGGTTTGAAAGAACTAAAAAAGAGGAAAATTAAAGGAAAATAAAATCCCTTCATTTTTCTCCTATCCCTCTGCTCCCCTCTAATTCTTCCCTATTTAGATGGGCAAATTTCTCTTTAACTAAACATACCATTTTATAAAAGTTAAAATACTAATTTAGTTCTTTAACTTTTAGATTTATACTAAAAATATCTTTCGACTTCAAAAATACTAAAATTATCTCTAAACTTCAATTTACGATATCAAAATAATTCTTTTGTTAATAAAAGTGTCATATGATTTGTTATCTTATCACAAAATGAGTGTTTTTTTTTAAATATTAATAACATATTAAATTAAATAATTATATTTTATTATCGTGATATATTTTTTATTTATATATCAAATTAATATGTAATTAAAGTTAAAAGATTAAACTGGTATCTATAATAAAATTTAAGGACTAAATTAATACTTATCTTTAGATTTCAAGATCTATTTTAATATAAAAATTAAAGTTTATGAATAATTTTAGTATTATTTAAAATTAAAAAATAATTTTAATAAAAATTTTAAAAGTTAAGAGATCAAATTAATATTTTAACCCTATATGTATAAATGGTGAAAACCCAAAAAGGGGGTGACACACTGAAAACAGATTTCAATTTTTACTCCTGATTGTTGTTTCAAAAAATGACCTGGGCTTAAACTTGACGGTATCGGGCTTGTTTCCACACGTAATAATATGTATGAAGGTTCCAAGTTGGGCCGCAGATCGTCCAGTTTCAGACTTTCTGCCATTTGGAGGACGGAACTTTTGGGCCCGAGCATGAATTTGGTTCCTTTCCTAAATTACAGCCCGCCAATTTTAGTGCACAAATATTTCCGCGCCACTGCTGTAGGTCCAAGTCAAAAAACTGGTACCAACGGCAACAGAACTCATTCTTTGGCTCATATATCCCAGAAATTTGTTCTTTTTAATTTGAAGCTGTTGGGCGCGGAGAAGCTGATATTGAACAAGTCTAAGGTTAGGGGTGGCAGATTATGGAAGGCCATCATGGATTGTGCTGGTGATGAATACGACATCGAAATCTTAGAGCTGATAAGGGCTGCGGCCGGCGGCGAACTCCCTGAACAAATCCTAATTCAGGCCGTCCAAAATTTTATACTGCAAGAATAAAAGAAATCTTAGATAATCTCGTAAGATATTGAGACATATAGTTTACTGACATGTTCAGAAAATATTAAATTTTTTTTCTTTTTTTGCGACAGTTCCCATTCTCTTTGTATTCTATTTAATCTTGAATGAAATTCTTTGCATATTCAACACATTGCTTTTTCCTGAAAAAAAATATTGCAGAGAATGATAAGGAAATCCATTGATCTTGAATAAAATTCTTTGCATCTGCACAGAAAATGGTTGGTGTTCTATTCAGATGATTTTAAATTTTCGTGAATTCTCAAATGATTAGAAAAGATTTAGATAAGAATATAAGTTTATCATTTTTTTTATATAAAAATAAGAATTTTTTGAAATTTTAAATTAAATAGTAAGTTTTTGCTTTTTTTATTTAAATATATGAACATTATCTCATTTTGATTAAAACTCTCGTTTGTCATATCATCATCACAATCTAATAAATCTTTCAATAAAAAATTAGAAAAGATTGTAAAATTTCATATTCTTATTTGAAAAAAAAATAGAAATTTACTAGTTAATTTAAAAACCTAAAAAGTTTGTATTTTTAAATTGATTAATAACAAAGTTGTTATCCTTATTTGTCCATTGTCTTCTCAAATGATGAGATTTTCATATTTTGTTATTTGAAAATTAACAATTGTAAATTCCATAATTAATAATTTGAAAATGATAAACAATTGAATGGGGGTAGCCTGCTAATATTAGAGTTGTTTCTCCATTCAATGATTTTGTTTTTCAATCTGGTGCAAGAACTCTTAATGTAAATGGATATTCCTACTAAAATAAAATCAAGATTTTGTTGTATATGGTAATTTTTTTATTGATAATGTGTTTGCTTAGTTTTTAGGTTAAAATACTAATTTGATCCCTCAATTTTCAAATGTATTTAAAATTGTCCTTTAACTTCAAAAAATATCAAAATTGTCCCTAAACATTAATTTTTAATATCAAAAAAGTTTTCTATTAATAAAAGTATCATACAACTCATTATTTTGTCATAAAATTAGCTTTTTAAAATATTAATAACATGTAAAATCAAATAGTCATATGCTGTTTTGTAACATATTTTTATTTATAAATCAGATTAATATATAATTAGAATTGAAAAATTAAATTGATATTTGTAATCAAAATTCAAGAATTAAGTAGTACTCATCTTCAAAGTTTAAGCACTAAATTGGTATTATTTTCAAAGTTTGAGGACTATCTAGGTACTAGAAATTAAAGTTCAAGATAATTTTGATATTTTTTAAAGTTGAGAGACAATTTTAGTGCAAATTTAAAAGTTAAGGGCTACATTAATATTTTAACCTAATTTTTAAGTTTACTTGATGAATGAGAGAAATTCCGGAGAGTAATTATCAAAAGGATCACTTGTTTTGCAGGCAAAATTAAGATCCTTGAATGGGGGAGAAAGGCCAGTATTAGGAGGCTCTCATTTAATCTAAAGATAATTATTTTGTAATTTAATACAATTTAAATTACAAAAATAATTTTTTTTATCAAAATAGTGAATAAGTGCTGTTCATTTTAAGCTATTTCTTGCCCAGCAAATTTATATTATAAAATTAATTGAATTATTTTTATTTCTTATTTTAAAACATAAATTATAAAAAGTTGAATTAGTTTAAAAAAAGTGTTGTATGGAGTTTGTTTTAAAATATTACTATTTAAAATTAAGAATGAGCAATGAATATATGATTATATATGCAAATATTTAAGGGTGTTCAGTGTAGGAGTTTACAAATAACTACAAGTTATTTATCTTTAATTGACCGAATTAAAAGTTAAAAATTTTAAATAAAATAATTATCAATTATTAAATTACAAATATTTATTATTAATTATATCTAAACAATTAGTATAAACAACTCTTTTTTTTGAACAAAACGTCATGAGTGAAATTCGAACTTTTAACCCATCAGAAAAAAGGGAACTGCACTTTTAGGGTGATCCGAAAGTCACTTAACTTGAAGGACCAGGTGCTTAAACAACCCTTAAACCAAATCGGAATTGAAATTTTTATATTTTTTAATATATTACAAGATTCCCGCAAATTACCACCTTGCCGTGATCCCTACTCAAATCCATGTTATTGCCACGAATAAAAGTGTTAATTCCATGAGCTTCTTTTTATTTGCCATTTTTGCCTGTTCAATTGGAAAATTCAACACTTCTTTTATACATTTTGTTTAAAAATCACCCGCCAACAGTATAGTGTCTCAATGCTGCTGCTACCCTTTTTCTTGGCGAAAATGACTCTGAAAGGGATGGGAGGTAAATGGAAGGGGGCGCGAGAATCCCTCTAAATTTCTCATTTTCACCTCTTGTAATCCCTCCAATTCGGAAGAATTTGGAGGAATTGGATTTATTTTTATTTTTTAATTATTTTTTAAAAATGTAAGTAAAGTTTTTTATTTAAACTTTTATTTTAGTAAATAAAATAAGAATAATGGTAATTTACTTTATTTTTAAAAAATTAAAAAAATTATTCTAAAATTATATTATTTTGATAAATTTT